GGGCCAGCTTCGGGGCCAGGCAGGTCCAGCAGGAGCACCCGGGGCCCGGCTGTGCTCCTGGCGGGTCCCCTGTGCTCTTTGCCTCTTGCTTTGCCTGTTCCTCACCCTGTCCCAGCAGCAGTTCTCGACCTGTGGTCCCCCTGTGTGCTCCCTTCTCTCTCCGCCCCCCACGCCTGCCCTAACTCCGCCTGTGCCACAGGAGCTCCTGGACGATATGGTGGCAGAGGAGGAGTGCCTGAAGGAGCGTCTCTTGAAGAGCATTGCAGTGTGTCGGAAGGAGCTGGACACCCTCTGCAGGGAACTCCAGCTGGAGCCCTTTGAGGTGCGGTGCTGCTTTGCACTTGGAGGGTCTCACGCAGCAGCAGTCTGCCCGGGTGTGCTGCCTGGCCCCTGCCCAGGTGTCTCAGTGAGGCCAGAGCTCACACAGCCTCTCCAAAACCCCTTTAGCTGAATCTCCACGGAGCCAAAGGCTTGGTGGCTGCTCACAGGTTGGGTGCTGGGAGAGGGTTGTGAGGAAGCTCAGTGTCTTGCAGCACCTTGTTTACTCTGTTGCTGCTGTTTGCACTTTCCTGGGAACACCTTGCTCAGAACTAGGACTTATGTCCCAGGGTTTCACTTGCTTAAGAAGCTTTGAACATGTGAGTTTGCAAAAGCTGATGCCTGGGCTCTTCCAGGAAGAAGAGGAGAGCACCATTCTGCAGATGGAGAAGAATCTGCGCACCCGCGTGGAAGTGATGTTGAAGCAGAAAAAGGACAGGAAGCAGGAGCTGAAAACTCTGCAGGAACAGGACCAAGAACTGTGTGACATCCTCTGCACCACCCCCTTTGACATCGACGGCAGCGCCGTGCCCAGCCTGGAGGACCTGGATCGCTACCGGCGCCACCTGGCCACCCTGACTGCCACCAAGGTGAGGGGGCAGGGTCTGCCGGGGGGGTCTGAGGGGCTCGCTGGTTTCTGACACCCCCTCATTGCCTCCAGGAGCACAGGCGAGAAGAGTTTGTCAGCAGCAAGCGGCAAATCATCCTCCTGATGGAGGAGCTGGACCACACCCCGGACACCAGCTTTGAGCAGGACGTGGTGTGCGAGGACGAGGACGCGTTCTGCCTGTCCACCGACAACCTGGCGGCCCTGCAGGGGCTGCTGCAGCAGGTGTGCGGGCACGGGGGCTGCGGGGGCTCCGGCCATCCCCACGGGGACGTTAGCACGTCCTTTTGAGAGCTTTTCCAAGGAGCTGCAGGGTGGGGAGCAGGCGTGTCCGCGGCCCGGCTGACCCCGCGTCTCCCCGGCAGCTGGAAGCGCGGCGCTCCCTGAACGACGCCGTGTGCGCGGAGCTGCGTGCCAGGATTGCAGCGCTCTGGGAAAGGCTGCAGGTCCCCGAGGAGGAGAGAGCATCATCTGCCGTGCATGTGGCTGGGTCCAGAGCCAAGACCAGGAAAGCTGTAAGGACCCTCTGGGGGGCTGGGGGTGGCAGCTCTGGGTCTTTCACACCTCGGGGTGGAGGAGCTGCCCCCAGCAGCCAAGCACCAGGCGAGCAGGGCAAATCCTGCCCCTGCGTGTGGAGGAGGTGGGGGGTGCCCCATCCTGAAAAGTGGCTTATGCAGAAGATAAATCCCATCTGGGTCTTCTGTTGACAGCTGCAGCTGGAAGTGGATCGTCTGGAGGAGCTGAAGCTGCAGAACATGAAGATGGTGGTTCAGGCAATCCGGGCAGAGCTGGCCAACCTCTGGGACAAGTGCTTCTATAGCCAGGAGCAGAGGGAAGACTTCAGACCCTATTATGATGGTGGGTAATGCAGGAGCTGAGGGCCCCCCTCAGCTGTGGCAGTGTGGGGGTCCCAACTGCCTCCTGAACATGCTGTCATACCCTCTCCAGAGGACTATACAGAGGGCCTGCTCAAGCTCCATGATGATGAGGTAGAGAAGATGAAGAACTACTATGAAATACACAAGGATCTGTTTGAGGCTGTCCAGAAATGGGAGGAGAGCTGGAGGCTGTTCCTGGAGCTGGAGGTACTGTCTGGGCAGGAATGTGCTCCTCCTGGCTGGGTTCTTGGCCACCAGGCAGTGCCTGTCCCTGCTCCTGTGGGCAAAATGCTGCTAGGGAAGCCCAGGGAGGCACTAGGAATGACAGTGGGTCAGTGACAGGGTAGAGGCTGTGGGAGGGGATGGGGGCTGTGCTGCAGGGTCTGTATTCTGAGGGGGATGAGACCAGGCTGTGTGTTTTTGTCTCTCCTGACCTCCCTTCTGTACCAGAGGAAAGCAACCGACCCCAGCCGCTTTGCCAACCGTGGGGGTAATCTGCTGAAGGAGGAGAAGCAGCGAGCAAAGCTGCAGAAGACACTTTCCAAGGTAGGTTCAGCCCTGGAGAACATGCTGTAGTCCTGGATTGGCCTGTAAAGAGCATGTAGAGCCAGCAAGGGATCTCTGGGGGTGGAGGGGCTCCCTCCAGGTGAGCAGCCTCTCCACACCACCCTTGTGTCCCCCTCAGCTGCAGGAAGAGCTGGAGAACAAGGTCCGGGCCTGGGAGCAGGAGCACGGGGGGGCTTTCCTGGTGAAGGGGCAGCAGTTCCTGGAGTATGTGACAGAGCAGTGGCAGCTGTACCGGCTGGAGAAGGAGAAAGAGAAGCAGGAGAGGGTGAGTACCAAGCTGCCTCCTCTGCTGCATTAACACCTGTGTTGCTGGGGGCTCTGCCCTCCCAGCTGTTGCCCATGGGTCTCCTTGCTCTGCCTGGAAGCAGCTCCACGCTCTGTCACAGCAGGGCTGGTGCCCGTCAGCGTGTTGGGCCCTTCCCTGGCCCCAGCCATGCCGGAGCTGTGGTGTAGCTCGGGATACCCAAACATCCCTGGGATACCAGGAGTCGGGGCTGCCGGCAGGGAGCTGCGGGACCTTGCCCACCCCGGGCAGACCCCCCCGAGTGCCGCAGCGCGGGGGGTCAGTGCTGATCTCTCCCGCAGCACCTGAAGAAAAGCCGCCAGACGGACAGAGATGAGGTGCGGGAGCCCCCCCACCAAGCGGCGGGTGCTCGGCCTCCACACGCCTGGCAAAGTAAGGAAGGTAAAAGCGCCCTGTGCTGGGCAGGTGGGCACACGGGGGCAGAGCTCTGCCTTGTCCCGGGGTGGCCTCGGGCCCTCGCAGGGACATGGGAGGGGCTGGGGGGCTGCAACAGCATGATGGGAGCAGGGAAGGGGCCACGGGCATTTCTGTCCTCCCCGGGGTGTGAGCCGGTTGTGCTGTGATGCTGGGGGGGCGGCTCCGAGCAGCCTCTACTCCCTCCGGTGTGACACCTGCTCTGCTCCTCCCACAGCTCAGAGGCACCTCCATCTCCAGCGCCACTCCCAACACCACCGTCCGCTCTGCCTTCGGGGCAACAATCTACCACTCCCCGACCTCCCGGCTGCCACCGCCTGGAGGGAAGGTGAGGAGCTTCCTGGGGGTGGGCTGGCTGGGGAGGGAGTGGGTGAGCTCCCGTTGCTGTCCTGTGCATCCCTGCCATACTCCTGGGGTGCAACGCTTGCTGATTTGTCCATGACCTGCTGCATGGGGCTGCTGCTAACCTTGTGGGATGTTTTGGAGACATGAGGGAGGAGGAGGGTAGTAGTAGCTTTCACGAAACCTTCCTCCAGCCCAGATTCCTAGTGTTGCTCTGTGCTGAGCCTGTAGTTTGGGGGTCCTTCAAACTGGGTCAGAACTGGGCTCCAGACGTTGGAGGGCTCCGGGAGCTTGGATTGACTCTGGCACTGCAGAGTGACCATCAACAAAGCCAGCACAGTTCCCCCAGCTCCATTTGATTCTGTGTCCCCTCTTTCCGTCCCTCCTTCCCGCAGTTCAGCCAGGCTCGGACCCCTGGACTCGTGGCTGCCAAGCCCCCCCGTACTGGCTACAGGGAGCGGAACAAGGAGAACATGTTGCAGCTGAACGGGACCACCCTGAGCGGTGGGTGCACCCTCACAGCCCCTGCCCAGCGTAACCACAGCGTTAATTCTGTTGCCAGCACCTATTCTGAGTTTGCGGTAATTCACCTCTCCTAACCCCACCTCCCCTCGCCGGGCAGCACGGGGGCTGCACAGCCCTCCAAGCCCCCCATGGCAGCAGATCGTTGGCTCCACGCCCAGAGATTCAATGTGAGGTTTGGTGGCTGCTGCTGGTGCTGAGCAGCCCCTCAGGAGCAGCCCTGGGGAGGATCCCTGCCCAGCCTCGCAGCTGCTCTCCCGAGGTGGCTCTGTCTCCATCAGGCTCCCCCTGCCCTGCCCCCAGATCCGAGCCACTTGGTGCAGTATGTCCCATGGGGGGTTGGTGTGTGTCCCCCACCAGGGGCTGCAGTGCGGTGGCCTGGGCAGCTGTCAGCAGCAGCACCCTCTGTCCTACCCCAGTCAGTGGGGAACTGGGGGGGTCTCCTGCCCTTTTCCTCCTTCCTACGCAGACTCATCCCTTGCCTGCTGACACCCTTGCTGTCCCTCCTGAGTCTGTGAGGGGACCCTGATGCTGGTCCCTGCAGCATTCCAGAGAAGAGGAGGCTGGGCACTGCCTTGGCTGTCGAGAAGGTGGATTGGGGGGAGATTAATTTAAAATATTAGGAAAAAATTATTTGCTGTGAGGATGGTGAGACACTGGTACAGGTTGTCCAGAGAAGATGTGGCTGCTCCATTCTTGAAGGTGTTCAAGGACAGGTTGGATGGGGCTTGGAGCAACCTGGTCTGGTAGGAGGTGTCCCTGCCCATAGCAGGAGGTGGGACTGGATGGACTTTAACGTTCCTTCCCACCAAAACTAGTCTAGGATTCAAAAATGTGCTCATAGCTGGTGGTCAGGGCTGTGCCCTCTGGCTGGTTCGAGGTCTCTGTTTTTCCACAAGGATTGGCTGAGCCCAAGTGTTAAAATCTTCTCACCCTGGACAGCCAGGGCCATGGCTTTGCTGTGACAGTGCCCTGTGTCCCTGGCGCTGTGCTGAGGATTCCTGTGACTCCAGACTGTGATCCCGTGCTGTGCACGGCCTCAGGGCAGGGACAGGCTGGTTTGTGATGGAGCAGGTTCCTGCCCAGTGTTTCCCTTCCTCCAGCAGCATGGCAGGGCTCTCCCTGTCCTCCTGCTTCCCCTCCCAGCTCTCAGAAGCCCCTTTGCTTTCTGCTGAGCTGCCAGCGTTGCCAGAACCAGCTCGAGTCCCTCCTCGGTAACACTTTCTTGCCCTTTTCTGAAGGAAGAGGAGCTGGGAAGCCCCAGCAAAGCAGCAGGAGCAGCCTGCCCTGTGTCCCTCTCGCTCCCCTCACCTCCACCTCCTGCTTCTTGTTTCCACAGCGCGAACTTTCCAAGGCTTCCATGTCTGAGAGCAGCTCCCGTGTCCTCAACTCCACCACCACCACGGCCTTCTGCTGAGCTGCTGCCGGCCCCCCTCCAGCCTTCGGACCCGTAGTGAGTGGCTGGGCGGGC